GCACTAACTCAGCTATCCTGCTTTCTCCCTCTTATGGCACTGCCCTCCTCCGCTCCAGGAGCTCAGAGCACATCTCAATCAACTGCTCGGTAGCTGCAAACACAGCAGCCCCAGAGCTGTCCTGGGCAGCCAGGAATCCCCATGGCCTTTTTAAGATCATAGCTGTGCTCAGAGTCAGCTGGGGCAGGGCAAGAGAAAAAGGGTTGGATTTCTGTAATTTTATTCACCTCTCCTGTAGCAAATGTTTTTCCTCCAAGTTTAGCCCTGATGTTGTTAATGATGCCTTGGACTCAGTATATTGAGTCAATCAACGTACACATATCTGATTTTTTGCCCATGAAACATGAAGGTTTACTATATAAAACTATTAAACTCTGCCCTAAAAGGTAAGCTCACTTCTCTGTATCATTACATGTTAGCTACTATCCAGTATACTGTAAAGCTCAAAAGACTTGCAGACTAGACCTCAAGCTTTTCCTTACATTTTGCATTTGGAATCTCTTCAGGAAGAATCTTCCACTCAAGAGCTACAGTAAGTGACGCTGGATGTCATAAGCTCTTCTCTTGTCTTTAGAAGTAATTTCACTTCAGCAATATGATAATGTCACTTCAGGCAACTTGAAAAATCTCTGTGTCTACATTGCCTGTCATTTTAAACTCAAATGTTTGGCTTTACAAGTACAAACAGCTGTTCCAAACAATTTCCAAGGACTGGAAAGTGACTGAAAATGTAGTTCGCTTGTACAAACACAGGCTAAAAGGTCTGTCTTAAATAAAGTCCTAAAGGATTGAAGTAGCTTTTTAAAAGAACATCTGTAACTATAGAGTGCAAGCAAAAACTACTACCCAAGAGCATGCACGTTTAGGCAAGTTTAGCAAAAACTACAATAGCATATGTTTTATATTATATGTAGCTCTCATACTGATGTACACTTACTGCAGATATCACTGTCTGACTGGTATAAATTCACTGGTATAAATTCAAACTCCTCCCTAATACAAAGTTAACATGGATTGATTTTCCGTTGTCAAATCAATACCCACGTACTTTTCCTCCCATCATTCTTCATGCTTTTTTATCTCTAACATCAAAATTCCCTTTCACAACAATATTATTTTCTGATGATTTTCATCTTTTGTCCTCTGCCTTTGAAAATGTCATTCTGGAAAGCACGCCCACAGGGAGTGAGCCAGGCTGCTGGCAGGGAAAGGACAGGGGGAGAAGGGATCAAAACATTACTTTTTCCAATCATGTCTTTTTCCTTGAAGCGACTTCCACTGGTGTCTGTCAGTGATGGCACGGTGCAAGCAGACAGACCTTTGCTCCGACATGCTGCAGATCCTCTGACAGAGGTACCTGACATAGATGGTTTCTGCAAGGCTCAGTGGGGTGTAATTGATTTAGTACCGTGATCAATTACTTTGTGCTGGGCTTAGGATACACTTTATAGCCTGAAAGCATGAGAAAATCAGCATGACCTGTTCAGCCTACTGGGAGGAAAACATCTTTATTTTCTCCAAAAGCAAAGGGGAATAGCTGACATTTCAGCTCTGTACCATCAGCCATTTTCAAGCCGCAAACACCAGCCTGCTACAGCACGGTTTGAAATACACCGAAGTGCCTGGGTCTGCTGCAGATCTTTGTGTGTGACCTCTGCCAAGCCTCTGTGTAACTTTTTTCACTACTGTGTAGGAACATCATGTGTGATTATTAACCCAAACACTGTAGTGTAAGAAACACAAATTTCTGCCATTCTCCTTCTATTGAAAACAACCACACCATTTATTCCCTTTCCTAAACTGATCATCACAGAATCGTCTAGATTGAAAAAGACCTTGAAGATCATCAGGTCCAATCATCCACCTAACACTGACAGTTCCCAACTCCCCCAGATCCCTCAGTGCTGTGTCGACACGACTCTTAAACCCCTCCAGGGATGGGGACTCCACCACCTCCCTGGGCAGCCCATTCCAACGCCCAACAACCCCTTCTGGAAAGAAATGCTTCCTGACACCCAGTCTAAACCTTCCCTGGTGCAATTTGAGGCCATTCCCTCTTGTCCTATTGCTTATTACTTGGTTCAAGAGACTCATCCCAGCTCTCTGCACCCTCCTTTCAGGGAGTTGTAGAGGGCAATGAGGTCTCCCCTCTCCTCTAATCTCCTGTTTTAGAGTAATAAGGACTTTTGCTGTCATGAGACTTCTCACCATTACACAGTGCAACTTCCACAGCTTAAAACCTGAAGCCATGTAATTCTTCTTAAGACTGCTGCACCTGTGAAGGACCCCCACCATGTTTGCCTTTCTTTTGGCTTCTCCATTCTTCCAACCATCTCAGAAGCACGCTGCTGGACCATTTCCAGCCTGAATTTATTTGTCCTGGCTATTGACAGCTGAAAATATGGAGGCATTTTGGTAGTACCATGAACCCATTCCCATCCTTGGAATAAATTCCTCACTAATACACCTCAAGGTCTCATTTCTCTTTTTTTATCTTCATTTACACAGTAACTTAGCTTCTATTGCAGTAACAGCTGATGGCTTCCCCACTTGAAAATATTTATTTGCCATGAACATCAAAATCTGCCATCAAATTGCACTTTACAGGCTCTTAAGTTTCCTTCTATGTCTACTGCTGGAGTGTTCAAATGATACACCTTTTTCTGGTTGATATTTCTGTCCTTACAATGATTATACTTCTTGGCTTCACTGTTTAACAACTGTGTCACCTGTAAGCTTTTGTCCATGCTCTGCCCAAACATCATTTTTACCCCTTTCATTGTTCATCAGAAAAAACAGTGCGTTCATAGAGTCCTATGCATATTACAGTTTACAGTCTGTAATACAAATTGTATGTCTCCTCTAGAAAATAATGCATTTGCCATTGTGCATTAACACAGTTGTACTAAACCCAGAGGGGTTTTTTAGGCATTTTTGGTATGCAATGCCTTAAACATTTCCCAGTGAAGGAGCAGCTCCGTTCATCTTCTACCTCTGGGGGACAGGACAGCATGTTGCAAGCCTTTTCACTGAGCAAAGAACATGACCATCCTTTTTCTCTACCATCTGCACTAGAAAATGTCTCCAGTTCACACCAGGAGCAATTCATACCCCTCTGCCTACAAAGGCCATCGTAGATCACGGATCTGCCTAGAAGCCCTAGGAGGCATCTTTGTAGCTACTGCTCCTTCAGCAGCCCTACTCATGATGAGGAGGAATAGTTTGGGTTTTTTTATGCGACACAAGAGCAGCAAGACTCCTTGACAGACAAAAAAAAATGGCTCTTCCAAATGCAAAAAGTCAGCATTTACAACATGGAAAAAAGAAAAAGACGAAAGTCAAACTTACTAGATGTGCAGAGCTTCACTGAAGGTTTAATTACATCCACCAGTCATGCTCTGTCATGATTGCATAATTACATAATTGCATGCACTAGTCATACTATACATAGGATCCAGGTTTCAGAATTCAGAGTTCAGATCCAGCATTTAGATTGGTAGCTGCTGCTGCTCCTTCTCCTCTTGCCTCACTTCCTCCTCAGCCACCCCAGGCTGCTATGCTGCTGAGCTTTTCACAGATCAAGCTTGCACCAGCTGTTGGGAGTTTCAGCCTCCCATCCCCAAGGGAATGTCTCTGCTTGCATGTGCCAGCTTCTGCATATGCCCAGAGCAAAGATGCTGCCTACCAAAATGAAGACTTTTTGCTTAAAAAGCTAATACAGACATAGACTTTAACCATACCCATAGATTGAGCCTCAGACAACGTTCCTCCAGCCACTGCTCTGGCAAAGCAATTTCTGACCGCAAAGCCCTCCTTGCAGGCTGTCCTTTCCATTGGCAGCCCCTTGCCAGCCCATCTGTATCCTGCTGGCCCAGCTGCTGCACCTCCAGGGGCTTGTGTTTCTCCTACATGGTTTGTCCAACCCCAGTCTCCAACGAGTTGCTACTTGCAGCAACATCTCAGGCAAAAGAAACTGATGTCCCCCAAGGAGATCTGCCATCAGGGACCTAGCTATCTTTTCCTCCCTAGCTTCAAGGAGCTGTGCATTTTTTATGGCATAGCTGTGATACAGGAATGGTTCCACCAGCCAGCACCTTTTTTTCCTCTCTGAGAAGGTCTTCCAAAAGTGGTGGCTTGGCTTATCTCTACCCTGCGTGGTGTTAACCTCTGCCGGAGGTGAGCCCTGTGCTCTGAGGTTCACGCTGGCAAGGCAAACACTCAATACCTGAAGGGACAGGAAGATGTTCAGAATAATAATATCTACTCTGCAGAGATTTTCACGGGCACACAAAATGCCATTGCTCTTGTGGGGCATTTCGAGCTCTGTGCCTAAACCTGCAGCCCGAGCTTTGGCTGAACTCCATGTGGTGCTGGCAACCCAAGATGTGAAGTGCACATCCGAACTCCTTTAAGCTAACGACTTTAACCATCAATGCTCCATCCTTTCATGCCTTTCCACCCCATAGTCTACAGCTGTTTCTGTATCCTTTTAAGTGGCAGACAGTGTGTTAGTAGAAACAAAAAGTTTAATAGTTATGTGATAGCGGAAGATTACTACAGGAATACTACTCTGATATTTATCTTGCCTGTACTTGTAAAACAGAATTTAAAGCAGACTCTTTATCTCTGCAGTAGATAGAGTGTAACTTTGAAAAATAAGTTAAAAAGAATTCTAATTTAGCTTAGAAGGCAAGAAAGCAGAGATAAGAAATGCTCACTATAAAAATCTGTATTTAAATCTCTAGTTTTGTCTTCTATCCCTCAACTCCAACCCCAACACTCTTCCACATACTGGAGTTAGAGATGCTCTATGTAAAGAAATCATGGCACTTGTTGTGGTAACGCCCTAGCTTCACAGCAAACCTAACTTTGTGATGTGAGTGGGTGAATTTTGCAGGGTGCTGTTATTGGAACATATTAGAAAAAGTCTCCAGAGCTGAATAAAATTCCATTCTCTGTCTAAATAAACAAGCATGGGTAACAGGTTTGGGTTTTTTGGTGGTGGTTTTTTTTTTTTGTTTTTTTTTTTTTTTAATAAGGAATGTTGTCAGTCCTATTTTATTATGCGTAATAGAGGGAGGTGAAAAAAATCAATATAAGCATTGTATCTAATCTATTTAAAACTACAATCACAATGTTATCTGAATGCCTTACAACATTGTTTAAATCCAACAAGTAGACAAGAAAACAACAAATCTATGCAGGGTTTTTTATACATATGGTGAGAAAGTTTGCAAAGTGTTAAAATATATTGTCTGTCTTGTATGTTTCTGGTACAAGGAGGTGATGTGTAGAATACTGTATATTTATGAACAAAGCCTTGACTTATACAAGCAATAATCGACTTCAAAACATACAATAATTAAAATATCCCCTAGAGCTGCTCATATAAAGTCAAATCCAGCACCTACTAAAGTTCAGCCAGCTGATTCTCTTTGACTCCAGTGGGCACTTGACTAAGCCCATGATAACTGTGAAGTACCTGACAGTCTAGTTGTATTCATATGAAAAAAATCACATTGCATAGATTTAGACAGGAAGACATGCAATAACAAGACAAGTCACAGTATAGCAAAACCTTGTTTCTTTGGTGAAACAGAAGCAGATATAAAAGTTACAAAGATTTTAGACTTTCATTCACAAAAAAAACCAGACATTCACATTATACACTATACAAGATAATAATATAAATAGAGAAAAGTATTATGTGCATTGTTTGGGGGCGAGGGGTGGGGATTGAACCAGCCAACACAGTGATGCACTTCCATGTTGAATGCACAAAGCCTGGGTACTCTTAATGGAGCAGTGACTGCAAATTTCTTAAGAGAAGTTGTTTGGAACTCTAATTACTGTTCTCGATGAGCTATGGCAAGGTAACTTCATGGGCAGCTCTGCCCAGTACAAACTCTTACATGTTGGCTGGGTTTCAATTCTTTTCCTTTCCCTTTCAACTTTTTGCATCATATCCCCACACTAACACAAAAGCATAAACCTCCCATCTGTGTTTGTATTTGTAGAGTTGTTTAAAAAGGTATATCATAGGGAACTTACTGTACTGTATTTTAGCTGTGAGTTTTTGTGGTGTTTTGTTTGTTTGTTTGTTTTTCTCTCTGTGCCCAAAGGTGTGCGAGGCACTTTGCAGAAATAACAGTCCTTTCTGTGGAGAGGTCGTTTCAAACGTTACCTTCTACTCTTCCTATACACAACCAGGTCAGTCATAGAGCTGACCTGGGTAAGAAATCATAATAGAAAACTCCTACGTACACACTGCACCAACTACAACCTATAATCTCTCTGTGCACACACTTCTTTCTAGAAAGCCAAGATTCTGATTCTTCTGTAAGTTACACAGTTCTCACCCATCTTAACTGCAAACAAATGATCCTGTTTAGCAGGAATTCTGTTCTCCAGGGAAATAGCAGTTGAACTGAAAGATGGTTCCAAAAGTGGAGCTCAGGGGCTAATACTGCACTGGCGAGCTCTTTTAATCTTCTTTGCATGGGTAAAATAACATCCAATAAATTAAATCAGTATGGCTTACTTCATTTATTTATGTACGCTTCACAGCTGCAGCATTCATACACAAACATTCATTACTTTATAAAAAGATTAAAAAATGGTTATATATACAAAATTATTTACTTTTTTGATTTTTGTTTGTTTTTTTACAAAAAAAATCCCCCAAACACCAGGTCTATCTCCATTTTAGAATGCAGAGACCTGTAATATAGACCTTGTGGTTAATGTCGTGAAAGTAATTTTTTTTCTTTTTTTTTTTTTCTTCTTTTTGTTTCCTTTTCGAAAAAGTGGCCCTGGTTGATAAAGTTAATGTATTAGCACTTGGATTTTTACAGGCCCTCCTCGTCATACTCAACTCCTCCATGCAGTCCTTTCTCATGAATGGTGAAGCTGGAATGGAGAGCAGAAAAAAAGTTCCACATTGCAGTCCCTAGCTCATGCTTCATGCCACTGTTATGTGCTCTGTCTAAACTTTGCATCACATGGACACAAACTGTACCTTGGATGGGAATTGGCACAGTTCCCATTTAAAAAAAAAAAAAATCATGTAACTTTTGTGTTTATCTTCACCTGATAATAGCAAATTTCAGTCAGTGAAGTTATTTCAACCATTTCCAGCCTAGGTAAACAACATAAAAACAACGTCATAAATGACTGAAGACCTCTGAGGCCGCTCTAACCATAAATATGCCTGAAATTAGTGTGACTTTTCATTTTATATACAAGATTTTAAAAACAACACACAATTAAACAACATTAAAATCATCTTATTTACATTTTCATTGGTGCTAAAATTGAGCTGTTTAAATATTGCAGAAGGCTGGTATATATCATAAAATGGTCCACACCGATGGCATATAGAAAACTAATAATCTTTATAGGCTGGAAATGCTTTTTTTTTTTTTTTTTTTTAAATTTTCTGATAAACACCATATTTTTGCAAAATGCATTGTGAATACCGCAGTCCATAGTTTCAAAACAATTTGATAATACTCCTATAAGTGATAGAAAAGGCACAGAAAGTTATGACTTTGGCTGAAATGGTGGAAATCCCCATTCACCATTTAGCTCTCAGCGCCTTGAGTCCTGCCATGTTCTGATCCAGCGATGATAGTGTTTTGATGAATTTAATGATGTTCCCTTTCCTGATGAAGAATGTTTATAGTAGTATTTCTTAGAGTAAGTCCTTTGGTATGTGGACGCTGCAATAAGAAGGAGGAAAAAAAGGAAGTTAATTTAAAATTATTTAATTATGAATGAGCTGGCTACACTTCACATTACAGTTCCCTCTATACTTGATTAATCAGAGAGTTAACAAATGATTAACTGGTACTATTACCGTGTTATAGACAGAAGCATCTCTTACACACAGTTAGACCACTGCTGCAGAAAGAATTGTTAGTGTTAATAAGAACCTGTTGATTTCAGGGGCTTTTTAAGAGTGTTGTTTACTTTAAAAGAATCTTAGTGGCTTCTGTACAAAACAGAAGAGGAACATTTACATTATCTTTGGAGGCCTGACTTTTTTCCTACAGATGGAGTAAGCAGTATTGCTGTTATAAACTGTCATACCAGATTTCCACTTCTCAACATATATCTTGATTCCTCATTAATTTTAAACTAGTTTATTGTTTCTGATCCAACACTGTTTTGCTTTCAAAGAACTCACGATTCATGCAAGTAATTTTAGGCATATCCCATCTTCCATTCCCTTGACACCGGATGGTTGGAATATGACGCTGGATGAAACCATCTTTGCAGTGATATCTAATTAGGGAGTTGATCTCATAACGAGGTTTCATCTTCCCAAAGGTCTTTGCATTTTCCACAACAGGAGGCTGACCGCAAGCAACTGAAAGGAAGAGAGAACATAACCCAAAACATCAGTTTGTAAATGCACTTCTGAATATGGTACTGTCCTCTAAACCCTGGCTAAGGGCTGATGTCAAGACCTCAGAATCCCAAGAGACACATCCAAATAAGAACAGGGAGATCAATATTTTCTGTAGTTCTCCTGTCTTGTAGACCAAATACAATAATGAATAAAATTGGAAAACAGCAGGTAGTATGGTTAGTATCACCTTTTTGGTTTCAATTTCTTATGTAAATTTGAGCCAAAAATGTTGTCATACTCACACAAAGAAGTGATTTTTACTGGAAGGCTGTGAAACCTAAAAACTAGTGAAGTTATTACAAGCATTTAAGAAAAAAGTCTCATTTTCAATACTCTTCAGGTCTTCCTCAACAATAGACTATTTAAAAGCACTTAAAACTGATGGATCCGTCAAGGCCCAGAGAACATGTTAACGAGAAGTTGTAAATGGTAATTGGAAACAGTGGAGCACACACTAGATTTTGTCTGCTTCTTTACTTTCCCAGTCTGAAGAGGCAGAGGCAATACCTAAAATATCACTATACAGCTCCCGGTAACAGTCAGGTTTCCTGTAAGTATCAGCTCCAACAGTGTATAAACCAAATGTGCTTTCCAGAATTCCAGTGGTGCCATTAAACTAGATGGTTTTGGAAAAGAGTAAGACAAAGGTCAGCATTACCTGGTGGATTAAAAGTATGCTCAGCTGAAGCTGAAAAGCTAACCACACACCAGTGGTTAGGCTGCCTGCTCTGACTGCCTGCTACTAATACTGTGCTGCACACATACTTCACGGTGATGCCATCCCAGGAAAGAAGAGCTGGTAATATTTTCATGGTATGCAAGTAAAGCAGATCTGCCAGGTAACTGAACGCCTCTTTTGCTGATATCTGCACCTAAGAAATTTGCCTGGTTTTAACCAAGAGTTTCAACGTGTAAACTTTTGTGCCTGACTCAAGAACAGAGTAGGCAGAGGTATAATATGTGGGTACAGAGAAATTATGACTTTGTGAGGCTAACTCATTTGAAGACTCACTGTGCCGGTTACCAAAAATCAGCTAGAATTTGTCATTTTAATTTTATAAATCTGGGATTTAGAGAATTATGCTATTGTTACTGGAAAGTTTGTACCTGTTCCTTTCTTGCAGGTATAGGTAAGGTGATAATTGCATGGCACATCATTCCACTGCCCATTCTCATGCCATATTATAACAACACAGTCTTCTCCAGCAGAAAAGAAGCTGTCTGGCTGGTTTGGTCGCCAGTTCTCATATTGCTGCAGAAAAGAGGAGCAAAACCATTATTCCCAGTGTCGGAGTATGTTTATATTCCATTTTACAGAAGAACACATAATATTACCTTTGCTGAAGAATAATCTCAATTGTTTGATTCAGGCTGTTAAGCATGAACTAAACAAAGCTAGATTTATAATATCCTCCCCCTCTATTAACAGATTATCTCAGTGGGAAAAAAATACTCTGATCTAACTTCTCACTTACTGTAAACTGATGTCAGAAGAACAAAACGAAGTGACACAATTCAGTGCAAGCAAAATCTGATCCTAAGTGTGTTGAAACACACTTTCCTACATAGACAGACATGAAGTGGAGTGGCAGGAAATGCAGAAATGGTCCATAACCCTCATTAGTCCACATCTACTAAATGAAAAATTACAGGCTAGCTTCTCAGACTCAAATTATTTATTCTCTGACCTCATTTAATGAAGTCATTCAATGGGACGATGTGCAGAATTAGGTGCAAAATAAGTGAAGGTGTCAGAATGTGCCCCCAGATCATTGCAGATTGATATTTCCATTAACAAGGCCTAGGTGGCAGACTGAGCATATACAGAAGCCTTTCAGCTTTAGAAATGACGATCCAAATTCTGCCCTCTGTAGAAGAACTAACTTCAGACATCTACGAATACATATGAATAAAATCAGAAACTGGCACACCAGTTTTAAAAGTAGAAATCTGATTGCCGGTATGTGACCAAAAAAAAAAAAAAAAAAAGTTTCTTCACCCTGCACCTGGGACACACATCTGGCATATTGATTTGGGGTCCAAGCTGGCTACATGCGTGTCTGCACTTATTTAGCTACACAGCTCTGCAGCTTTCAGCTCCGTATCCACCTAAAGAGACATCCCTACGAAGAGCTGAGGATGCTGGCTGCTGCCTGGTTGTGCACAGGTCCGTGCATGGGCTACACCTGCATTTATTCCTCTGCAGAATGTGCTCTTTCAAGCATAGGTAAGCTCATCATTGCATGATGTGATTTTTGGATGAAAATTAGGGAGGATTGTCTGTTTTTTCAATAAGTAAGCTGGAAAAATAGAAACAAAGGGACGGTCACACCAATAAAAATCTACGCGCTAGTCCTTGATAAGGGACATATAGCCTACTGTCCCTGCAGTTAGCAGAGCTGGGATAATCTTTATTCCATTTCTTGTTTCATCTTGATCCCAAATGAAGCACCGCAATTTGGGATCCGCATAACGTTATATTAACAAAAGTGAGAGAAGATTTGGAAAACTATTCTTAGTCATTTTCTTTGGGATTTCTGTTGTGTCACTCCAAGAAGAATTTTATGAAGGATAAAAATAGATATCCGAAAGAACTGGAATTCACATAAATGCCAGACATTAACCAGGCAGCTAGACCCTTGTATGGTCAAAATGACATAGTTTCTATGGTGCTTATATTTTCCTCAGTGCTTACATCTTTCTGTCTAGAGCTGGCCCATATAAATGTCATAAAAGTTTAGCTTTCTATTTTCTTAACTTTATGAAATAACCACTATTTACTGCCTGGGTGAACACATTTTAGAAGTAAAGTTAACATACCCCACACAAGTAGTATTTACCTTACAATGAATCAAACTATGAAAAAAAATGAGTTAAATACTTAACCTTTTCCTACAACGTGTCATCTTACCCATCACAGGTTTTAATTATCCAGGCAATTTAACAATCATGGTCTAAATAAATTTGTTCTGCACTGAATTTATTACCTCTAATAAAACATCCCCCTTTTTATGTGAAACTAACTTAATTCCATCTCTACATTTCAGTGTTTAATAGTCCTAAACTACAATACACACTAACTCATTTACTCAAGTCCAGAATTCAGCATTTCACATTAGCTTATAAATCAGAGTACGAGTTTTTCAAGCACAGTAGCCAAATATCACACGTATGAGTCAAATGGGATCTGTGGTGTGGGGGCTTCCTGCAACACCCTGTGCGAAAAAGAAAAGCAAGCTTTCTGCATATGTCCTGAGCCAGCAAGAAGGAAAATAGGATGAAGGAATATGCCCATTCATGGTGTGTATTAACGTAACTTAAGAGTGGTCCAAGACACCTTCTCCAAAAGGGTATTTTGGAATGGCCACTGCGCCAAAGATCTCATACTTTTTTACAACAGAGCTGGTTAAGGATGCGGGAATCTGATCAGAAAAGGTCATGCTACCACAACACAGAAGGCTACCGACGGCTAAACCAGAAATAGCTGAGCACACTGACACATTGAAGGGTTAGGCCTGCTGATGGTGCTGCCCCAAACACCTGCTCCATCCATCTCCTCTACATGGGTGGCTGTGATGCACCTTCAGGAGCACCACAGAGTCGAAGGCATTGAAGGAAAACTGGTGCATGTTTCACTCGTGCTGCAGGGAAGCCTGCCTGAGTGTTGTGGAGGAGGGGTAAGCAGAAGGAAGCATGTCTCATTTTCTCCTCTAAATGTCTTACTACATATCCCAACTGAAAAATGAGATTTGCTAACATAAGTCTGCATAAGTGTGTGCATGGTTGGTTACACTGCTCCAGTGATGGGCAGCAGCTTCTTAAACTGAGGCGGCCCGTCGCTTTCAAGAATATGCCCAGACATATGGACACAGAAAAATTAAAGGAAACAGACAGGTTAGTGGTAGAAAAGTTTGATCGATAACATCCTGATGGCAAAGGAAACACTTCAACAAGCCTTGCAGCTGTTTCTTGTAGAAATGATACTAGAGAGCTGTTTGCTTCCATAGGGATCAGAGTGTGGGAATGAATGATATTTAATGGCTATTGGGGGCGTGTGAGCCGAAGGTGCTCAGCAGCTTGCCAGCTCCCACCCTAAGCACATAGACTACATATGTTCTTACTTGCCTTACCATAATGACTCCAAAATTTGTGTTTGCTTTGCTGGCAGGGCTGCAGCGTAATGGCAAAGGATTATATCTGGGCCCTGTGGTTTATTCAAGAATGTTTGATATCCTCCAGCGTGACTTGCTGTTACCTCACATCTGATATCATCATTGCACAGATTTATTTTGGCTGAATAACTCTGATTTTGCATGAGTTTAGTGCCAGAATTGCTTAGCAGAGGAAGTTCCAGACTGCTGAATTGCTTTCTTAGGTCTCCACCCAGCTCTTCTGTAGTTTTTCAGTTTTCCTTATTTAGCCACTGATAATGGGATAATGATAGAAAAAGATTCTCACAGTTTGGAATAAGCTGCTAGACAAATAAACTAATATTTTGCTTTCCTCTTATGGATTACATTTTTGTATGACCATGAGCGTGATTCTGGTTTTCAGTTACAGTAGTGTAAATGAGGGGTGACTGCACTATCTCCAGTAAATTTACATCAGCAAAAATCAATGGGAAAAACCAAAGCCTGTAAGTCACATACTGATTTGTACTGCTTGTTTCCAAAGGTATCCCTTAGAATCTCTCATACCAAGCATGCTAAGCCTCCCCTACCTTTGCAAGAAGTGCAGTAAGCATCTAAGATACTCAGGTCATTATTATTCTGTTGGGAGACAGTGTTCAAAATATTCTGAACATTGATGCCCTTTTCGTAGTGGCTATGTCATTTAAGATCCTTGTATTTCAATGCATTACTTTTAATTAGAAAAAGATATTTTACAAAAAGAAAAAATGGTTAACTTAATTCCTTGGCAACATGTATAATTCAGGTTTGTTTGTTTTTTAAGAACACATCCAAAAAAGATCAGCCATATTCACAGACGGGCCAAAAACTGCTGGCGTCATTCCAGTCACCCTGATGCTAGGTTATGTCTTCTTGTAAACTGTTATTGTGTCAGCAGACCAATGAAACCTCACTAAGGAACACTGTGTTTGAACTGATAAAGCTCAAAGACATCCTTTTGCCAACAATCAAGCTTCGGTCAACACCTTCAGCAATACTCTTAGCTGCATTATTCATAAAAGATGACATGTTTCTGAAAATCTAAATAGGTTCAAATGCTGAGTTAATACAGGGAAGAAAAGCTGCTACAACCCTTTTAGTCCTCATCAGAAATGCCTACACTGGGTGATGGCACAGAGGGACCTAAAAACTATTACTACCCTGGATTTTAAGCAACATTACCATAACACATGTGAAGTTTTCCCCTGGATTAAAATGCAAACCACTTCCAGACTATACATTTTAGGACATATAATCTTAATTATGTACATGACTCGAATTGTACTTCAGAGGAGGTTTCACCCACTACACCGTTCTCCCCCAGCCGTGAAACGTGCTTTGCTGAGGTGGCTGTGGAGACTGAAGCTGGGGATGCAGGGGAGTGAAGGCTGGCAGCACACACCTCGGGCTCAGGCAGCAGCCTCTCTGCAAAGTTCTTAACATGCATGACGACAAGACACTTGGGTTTTTTTCATAAAAAAAAATGGGATTTCTATTTAATCAGATAACTGCAGGACCTAGCCTTGGGGACAGGATTTTGGTCCCTGTACATCCATTTGGCCCTTTGGGAGCCTCACCACTCATCAGTGTTGACTTCATTTCAGGCTGAAAACTGGAGCTGCCATTATGCTCTTTATGCCTGTAATTATACTGTAATAATTAACTAATTTTTCTTGTACTTTTTTTTTTTTTTTGGTGGAAACCAAAGCCTGCACTGACATGTTGGATTTACTTGTTCTAGCTTTCTCTGCTAAAAAGCACTGAAAATTTTCCTGCAGAAAGAGGGTGGATGGTTCATGGGTTAGAGCTGCATCTGAGACGGGGTTCAGTTCCTCAGGCTTCCTACGTGGCATTAGACAATGCACTTGGCTGGCTGATTCCCAGTCTGTCAAACAGTGACAATGTATTCTCTTGCCTCACAGGAGGAGCTTGGTTACAAAAGCCCATGAAAAGATTTTATTAAGTTCCACATTTTTGGGAAGGATTTCCTTATATGGCTTAGAATTAACTCCCAGCTATAATGTGCCAGTTGGGTGACAGGCTGACTTTTCACATAAATTATATCTAAGAAAGACAGGATTAT